CCCCCCACGCTCCAGTTCGCATTAAGGTATGTATTCCATTATCCTAGCAGAACAAGCATTGGTATTATAGGAAGATACTAGATTATAAAGCTAGAATGGATTTAGATCCCCACCTCCCAGAGTATGGCATTTTATTTTTAAGAATCTTAATTTTCAGTTAGTTTTTAGATTATTTCTATTTTATGAGAGCCGCCATATTTACAATTGAGATACTCTTGCTTCATCCCCTTGGAAAACTACCACTGATGCAAAAAACATGATCGCCACTCAAGGCAGTGGGACAGGTCAAGCAAAGTGTACACCAGAAAGGTGTTGGAGCATGCTTCCTAAGCACCACAGATTAGTCATTAAGGTTGGTATCTTAGTACTGTAAGTTGTGTGTGCTGAACCACCTTGATGCTAACACTGAAAGGTGAAATCATAGTGCTGCTTTGACAATAAATATGGCTTTATTACTATTTTCTGACTCTGTATACAATCTGGTATGCACGTGCTGTGCTTGATAAAATATCAATTTTAAGCAGAAAAAAATCTCAACCTAGAGATACTGGCAGTAGTAAAAGGCAAGAACAAGAGGAGTACAGGACAACACAGTGGAATGTCATTGCTGCAGAAATGCTTAGTAGCACTGGTGCCTTATGAGAAAATTTCTGAGGGAGGAGAAGGAGCACTCTTTTGCAGTACCATAGCAAGGGGAGGTGGAGGGCGAACAGGGCAACTGCCCCAGGCGCTGAAGTGAAGGGGTGCCAACAGGCACTGCCCAGCCGGGGCAGGGTGCAGGACAGATCTGCGAGTGGCTCGTTTGTGGGGGGTTGTGGGGACAGGGGAAGGGCAGCTCCCTCCGCTGCATGAACTCCTGGGCAAGCATAAGGGGGTGTGTGCCCCTGGATCTGTGCGTAGGGCGAGGGTGGGCTGCCACTGCAGCCTTTGCCCCAGGCGCCAAACTTCACTGCTACGGCACTGCTCTTTTGGCCTGGATCTATCAAGAGACTCTTTTGGGTTTAAAGGCAGCATGAAATAAATTAGAAGATGGAAATGTGAAGAAAAAACAAAGGGAGATCTTGGAAGAGAAGCATAGGTAAAGCTGAGGAAGAGGGACGGGGTAGCAGGATTTTAGTAATATTATTTTTCAGGTTCTTACTCATCAGGCCATCGGGGGTGGAAAGTTAGAGAGGTGTGAGGTGGTTGGGTGGCTAGTGTACCACTTCCAAGCACGAAAGTCTTGAAAGGATTTAGCAACTGGAAATTGAAAGCCTATCCACATACCATCGTAGGTTGCACAAAAGAGACCAACAGAATGTATGCAAGGGTGGCCCAGATTGAAGAGTTAACAAATGAATCGCCTGATCCCCTGCTCCACCCTCGGATGATCTCTGCCTCTGCTGGCTCGGGAAAGTAAACACCCTTTGGTGTTGGCCACAGCTGGATCTGTGCAGCTGTATGTTACAGCCTTTTTCACTGCAAACAATTCTCATAGTGCTGTTTCAGGTTAAGAAACAACTAGGAATATTAAAAATCCTCCTTAAGCAAAGTAAAATATTCAAATAGGTGGTTTCTTGTTGCTTTAAAAAATATTTCTTTTAAGGCAGAACACCAGTTCTTTAGTACTTACAGCAGGGGGACACGCTTCCATATCTGTCGCTCCGTCTCCAATCATAACTACATTCTTAAAGTTAAACTGTTCCTTCAGATGAGCAATAACCTTTCCTTTCCCGCCTGATTCAGCTGTTGGTTGTGTCTCATCAAACCCTGCATATTCTCCTGAAAACATATTAGGAAAAGGTATTAGAGACCAGGATTTGCAATTGCTTCAGTGAGTTATGGAAAACTGTATCAAGGAGTGACACGAGTGAACTTTTCAATAATCAAAAGAGATTCATACATTTTCTATTACCTTTTCATCAGGAAATAACTAATGTGGCCCCCAACATGATAGCTTCACGCACACACAACTCCCACTGAATTAAATGGAAGTTAAGATTGTGTTCAGAACTATAGGATTTGGCTTATAAACCTTACAGCTAGGATCAGTGCAAAAAAACCTCACAAATTTATAAATATAGTGGGCCAGATTCTATTCCCAGTTACACTGACATAAATCAGAAGTGATTTCATTCAAATATGTGATGTATAAACATAGTATGAGTAAGAAGACAATTAGCTAAACACAATTCCGCTTGGGTATACTGACATAAAAACTACAGCAATTCCACTGAGGTCAAGTCCACTTCACACAGTACAGTTTCTCTGGATTTACCCCAAAACCACTGAAAAAAGAGCCTGTCCCTAAAGCTATGTTATTAATGGGATAAAATCCTGAAACCTTGAAATGATATTTTATTAAGCCACAGAAAAAGAATAAGAGAACACGATTCTTTGAGCTCAAGCCGCTGAGTTCTGCACCTTTAATATTTCTTTTTCTTGACAGATCCCATGGTTTTAAAATTATTTTAAAACTACTTGATTTGTTATTCTAGACACACAATAGACTGAACCAAATACCATTATCAGAATATCTCCCAGTACGTTTTTCTTTAGCTTGTCATACTATGCTGCCACATCAAAAGTTATGCCTTCTGATTCAGCTATATTTCATTTGTCTGGAAAGTGATTTAAGCCCTTGTGTTTTTACATTCACAGTCTCCCTGCCAGGTACTGAGCGTAAACTGGCACTGAGACTCTAGTTTGGACAGAGCCTGGACTCTAGATGAGCAGCCACTATTGTAACCCAAAATAATTTTATTTATAGTGTTTACTATTTCTTATATTATTATAACTTTTAAAATGGCTGTAAATGCACCAGTGGCCCCTAACTCTACCTGCTCCTATGGGAGCCTGGGCAGTTCACTTTCCACATTCCTTCTTAGGCTGCTCTGCTAGAAGTCTTATCAGAGTTACCGTGCTACTTGAAGTGACAGTATTTGCAATGCGGAAACTCAGTAATTAGAATCTGTCCTGTGAACAATCAAACTCAGGCCACAGATAAGAAATAACCATGTTTCAGTGTGTTCATTTTTCCTTAAATTTTAATCTATGGTAGGTAACCGCTCACTATCCTACTTCAGGCTGAACTAAAAACATGACATTAATAAGTTGAAAAAGAAAGGTACCAGTGAACTCTTACCATTAAAGTAAAACTTCAGCCTATTGGCAAACACATTTGCTGTTGGGATGTTTAACTGCGAAGCAACATGCTCGACAATGCTCTGGAACCCTCCGGATATTAAGAAAACCTGGACACCTCGCTGATGAAGACAGCTTACCAGCTCCCTTAAAAGAAAAGAGAACAACCACCGATGTGAATATCTATCAGGATCAAGGAACAGAAGAAGGGCAACTGTTCATGAACAAAGCTGCCTACATTTTACATTATCCCTGCTTACTCAGGATGTGTGCAGCATTTCAATTCCATGCCGTAGTGCTGTCTTATACTTTCCCATTCTCTTCACAAACTTGTGCATAGACTCTGCATGAAAAGAGCTGTACAAAACTATATCATGGTGAGAGACAGACTAGCAAATAATTGCTCAGAGAAACAGTTGGATCAGAGAACTGTTTGTTTGCATTTTCCTGATTATGTCAATCTCCCTGCATAAATTAAAACTGATCCAGCTCGAAAATACTCCTTAATATAGGGTCAAGATCAGCAAGAAGAAATCAACAATGCAGCATGAGCAGGAATTTTAGGAGGCAGTGAGACACTAGGCTACACAGGAAATGTGCTGAAATTTGTGTAATGGACTAGTTTGTCTAGTGGGTTCACAGATTCTATTGCTGGACACCATCAATATAAAAATATGATAACTATAGGAAAGGAATCTGCAAAAACAGAAGCAGAGGTGTAAGAATTTCAGATCCAGTTCTTGAGAGCTAACATCTTGCAGATTCTGGCCTCTGGGTAAAAGACCAGCAAATGAAAAAAAAGCAAAGGAGCAGATCTAGCAGCAACAGCAGCAATGCTGAAATCCATACAGAAGGCACAGATTTTAAAGCAGAGAAGCTGTACAAAGAAAACCAAGAAAAAAGGGAGTGAGAAGAGAAGGGTCATGTGATTCCAAACAAGAAACAATGTACTGTTTGTAATCACAGCCAGCAATATCCTCACAGAGATGAAAATGTGTTTCAGCTCTAGAAGGAAAATGCAGATGCAACATCTTCTAAAAGCAATCTTTATGTATTAAGAGTATTAGAGCCTTACTAGACCTGTGGACTGGAGGGCAGTTTTATAATAAAGTACCTATTTTCAGTCATATACTGATTTTTGACAAAAATACACATTTTCATTAAAAATAGGTTACAGCAATGGTAGGCAACCTTTTGCAGCTGCAGGCCAAGTAGGCACTGCTGCCCTCACTTGGTGCTTCTCCCCACAGCAGCACAGGAAGAATGCCTGCAGCCAGTCCCACCCCATCACCAAAGCCCCACATCCATGTGCTGGATCCAATGGCTCCATAGGCCAGTTCTGGCTTGTGGGCCTATAGCTGCCAACTCCTGGCTTATGAGACAACAGAATCATAGGGTTGAAAGAGACTTCAAGGGTCATCTAATTCAACTCCCCCACCCCCCTGCAAAGCGCAAACATGCATTTTGCATGTTTGCAAAATGCAAACATTTGCATTTTGGGGGGGGGGGGAATGATCCAAATATGTATAAGTATACACGTCTATAAATGCATAAATATACATTCTTAAAATATCCAGTGACGTTAGTGTTGAAGAATGGCAGCCTCTACATGGGCCCAATCCTGAGATTTGAGTGCCAAGAGCCCATTCAAAGGACTGGACACGAACACTGTACCTCCAGAAAACACATGCCTAGGGCAACAACAATGCAAGCTTTCCCATTAACTTGCCACACACCTTACCTAGAAGAATCACTTCCAGATGTTATAGCATAGATGTCTGTCAACATAGACGCCAATTAACACTAACCATGATGGCATTTTTCTGAAATGGATACCTGTCCATCTGAAATTAACTCAGCCCATTGTAACATTCAAATACAAACTTCATATCAAGCCAAGTTAGTCCCAAGGCCACTGTGACCATCGGGGCACCTTAGATGCTGTAACAACCCCCCTAGGTTAGTTGATCTGCTATGCATCATTGCTGATTCTTCAGGCAGAGCAACCTGGAGGCACCCATCTCCTCTCCAGGTATGAATGGTCATTGGCTCACAAGGACCTCATCTGCCCTTTGACAGGCCTTGTTTTTAGTCCTGCTGGGTGTCTACACACTCTCCTCACCCAGGTGGGGGTGCCGGTTTAGTCTCTGGAAACCTGACCATAGAACAGGCTGTACTGGTTTACATGGTACCAGATAGTAGGCCAAGAGAGGCCTGGTCTAACAAGGGAACTTCATACATGATATTTAAATCAATCAGGAAAACATTCTGAACCAGATCCTCAGGTGGTCTTTTTCAATTGACTTCTATGAGCTCAGACCTTCTTTGGTTTTGGAAGGCTTTTTAATTAGATCATTTAAAGTTCATCTTACCTTATTCCTGGTGTTAGGTGGGGTGGATGATCCGATATTAATTTTTGTACTTGTTCCCAAGAAGGGCGTATAAGTCCTAGTCGTGCTGTTAAAGCAGCTTTGAATGTCACAGAACCTCCCATTGCTCTGCGGGTCCTAATTAGTGATCCAAATCATGAAAGTCAGTTATAGTAGCTAGGAGATGTTTTCTCATAAGGATTATTAGTTGAAGTTAAATACCTGGGAATTACTCCTGAACTTTATCAGTTCTAGATTATGTTATCTGGACATTTCAATTTGGCATAGCCTGACGAGCTGAGAAGTTTGCACAATATTTAGAAATTGCTGCTAAATGCTTACAATCAGAGAAAAGTCTGAGCTGAAAATTTTAGATCCAGTTCTCACACCTTCCTCAAAGTTTTATGTGGAGGTTCAGACTCCAATGTTATCCCTTTTAAACCCCCCAAAATTGCCAAAGACTTGTTCTTCCTCCGAAAAGAGGAACCAAGGTGTACTACTGCTTCACAGAGTTTAACTAAACGGTCGTAGGGGCCTGATCCAAAAAACTGAATGATGTTAATTGAAGGATTCTCACTGGCTTCAATAATCTTTGGATTAGACTGAGTATCTCCAAAATGTAAATTATTCTGATATTCATTAATACTATTTATTAGAATTATGATCTTCTTTGAGCTATTGCAATCACAAACAAAACACCAGGCTACATTCTGGTCTTTTTTTATTCCTGACTACAATAATTCTGAAATTAATAGCAAAAAAAGTATACTTACATTTCTGCCACAGCATCCCCAACTCCACAGAACTTTGCCAGTTCATCAATGCCTTCTTCTTTGATGACTGTACTATCCACATCAAAGCACACTGCATCTGCATTGCAGAAGATTTCCTTTATCTCCATGAGGGAGGCCATCCTTTTAGGAACCTTTCTACTGTAAGAGAGGATAAGTTCCCTCTGTGAGTCACTACATGGTATTCTGTTTTGAGCCATCTAGGCAACTGATCTGTCACCTGCAGCTGACAGGGAACAGAGCTATGCAGCCAGCCTTTATAAATAGAAGTGGGCAGTGGTGGGGATTTGGCTTAGTTGCTGATTTGCTGTCTTCTGTGGCCGCCTGCTGATGTCCAGTCTGCGTTCAAGGTTGGAGGTGAGCAACTGAGATTTGGCTTAGTTCCTGATTTCCTCTCTGCAGCAGCTGCCCACTGACATTCAGCCAGAGATCAAGGTTGTAGCTCTGGCTTCTATAGAAGCGGCTATTGGAATCCCAACTACAACGGAGGGCTGGGTTTGTGACTCTATATTTCATCTCGGCCTCACAGGTCTGAAGGAATATGACTACATACAAAAGATTTGTAAAAGAGACTTAGGATAAGACCCATGATTCAGAGGACAGTACAAGAAACCCCATCATGGTCAATCAAGAATTACCCTGCTTATGACTTGCTGTCTAACCCGCTTAAGGTTTATATTGGTTGATTTATACTCTGCACCACAAGGGTTTAGATCCCTTATTATATCCCGGTCAATGGAACCGTTGATATTCTTACCATCTACATGAATGTCTAAACCTTTTCTAAATCCTACTGATTCCTAATTGACAGGTTTTGGTTAATTTGATTTAATGGATCAAGATATAACAATATCATGACATAGCAATTTTTCCAAGAGTACTAAATTAAAAAATAGGAAAGTATAACTCAGCTAAATCAGAGGGAAACTGAAGAATTACTACTAATACAATGTTTTCTTTCCTTTTGTAGCTGTTCACTTGACTGTGCAGAGTATATCTTGTTCTGCAAATCAGAAACACAATGTTTATAAATGGCTATTAAAAACATAAGAATATTTTCCTATCCTCACCCTAAGCATCCCATGCTTTTCTCCTCATAAGCAAATCCAATGTGTAATTTAGCAACCTGTTTTTATATAGGAAAGATACTCAGTGCTATGACTTTATACCAACTGCATTTCCAGATTGCTGCTGGAATGTATTTGGCTGGTTTGGTTTAATCACCTATGCTATTTACTGCATATCTCCGCGTATAATTAACCTAAGTAGCAGGTTCCCTCTTCTTTTTTGTTTCAGGGGAAATGTTTTGTCACTTTGCATGATGCTTTCCAGCTTCATCTTTTATTTTCCTCCCACTAACCTGCAGGTAGATTTGTCTGCTTCCCATGTATTCAACTAATAGATGGTAAAAGACCCTACAACGGCCTACTTTCCAGACAGTATCTATTTCCTTCTCCTTTAAAACAGATCCTGAAACTAGGTTGGGGCAAAGACCCTGTCTCAAAGTTTTCTGTGAAACACCACCTATGTTTATGGGTCTGTGTAAATAATATATAAAATAATCATATTATCTGAGAATGGCACATAAAAGAAACCTGGCACTATGAAAGAGCCATAAGTATCAAACAAAAATTTGTTTGTACAGTCTATAGCTTGGTACTAAGCTAAAACCTGCCAGTGGGTGGATGTGTGACTAAGTCGCAAGTTTACTTGTTATCAGCCTCACTATACTGACTCCAGAGCTGTCTGGTCATGCTTGGGCTGGAAAGTTTTGCTGTGCCAGATAAGGGGCCTTTGACTTCAGGGCATGGCTGGAACACCATATGCTCTAATGTGATTGCATAACAGAATTAAAAAAATAATAATGCACTGACATTTTTGGAGTAGCATGCTGTTAAAATTTTTCCAGTCTATTAGGAAACCATGAAGTCCACAAAACATTCAGACCTGGGTATAGTTGCCAGTATTAAAAATTTGTCCTACTGGCCAGATGTCATTAGCATGACATTTGCGTCATGATGTTGCAGCACTGATCTATCATTATGCAAAAGTATCACATTGCATGTTAGCAATCTGAGGTTGTATTGCAACATCACATAATGATGCAATATTATCATACAGCGACATGACACTGCCTTGTGATGAGTGCACGATAGTCTAAAATATATTTAAAGATATGCTTCCCCAAATCTTACCTGTTCTGAAAAAAGTGGGTTCAATGGAAACTCTAATAATGGGTGCCCATCTTATTCCAATTCATCCTAGGATTTCTTTTTCTGAATCTTTCTTGCAGCAGTGGGACTATTTCTACTGATCCCATTTTGATGGGCAAACTTATAGGATAAGAAACCCCCCCCCCCACAGATGCCAACTATGAAACCACTAGTTATTACATGCAATATTTTTTCCAATGTGTTTTCAAGCTATGCTTCACAGAAACATGAATAAGGTGCCCAAAAGGACACGTTGGTATGGAAGAATCAGAAGAAACTAGAAGATGCAAGAGCTGGTGCATAAAAAAAAGCTGTAGTTCCTGAACCACAAAATGAGTGAAAAATCATCTTTCAACTCATAACGTCTGGGATTTGAGAATATTTTGGCCATTTTTGGCTGATGATCAAAAAATGTACTTGTGGAAGATTGGGAAGCTGATATTGCAGGAGTAAAGGAAGAAAGGAGGGAAAAGGGGATGAGTGCTATTTGGAGGGGCTCTTCTGTAAATAGGATACATTTTTGTGGCATGGCTGGGGGCAGATGCACCTGGCACTTTGAGCTAAATTTGAGTTCTTTCCCCTTCAACCACTTGCTTGCAAAACTCTAGGTGCTGCCCTCAGCTGTGTTAGGATATTTCATTTCAAGGGGCTGAAGAACTGCTTTCACAAACTCTTAAGCCATTTCTCCGGCCCTCATTGTGGATTGGAGATTAAACTGTCCTGTGACTGGGAATGCACAGTAGCAGTTAGAATATCAACACTACCAAAGAAGAGTGAGTTGCTTCTTCCCTCCCATGTCCAAACACCACTGGACGCAACTCACCCAGTGATTTTGCAGTACCTGCTTGGAAACCTGCTCTATCAGTTAAATTATTGTTAAAATAGAGCATTAATATTTATGGGGGACATGCAGACATAGAAGTACAAAGACAGAGCTGGGCCCTCTTCTGATTTTTCTATAATGGCAATTTCCTAAGATTGATTTCCTACACTTGTGGGATTATGAGCCCAACCTGCACAAAGAAGGACTTGCTGGACTGGTTACCCTCATGAGGTGTTGTCTGGAAACATATGAGCATAAAGACCTGGACGTTTTATAACAACTCTTCTGCATGGAAAACCTCAAAAGGATGTGGAAAAAGAGTAGAAAACTATCAAACTGTCCAGGAGAAGATGCTGAGGTGTCTAGACTTGACGCCAAGGCTAGGGGCAGAAGTTACATATAAACTGGTTTAAGTGATCAGAAACTGATTTAAACCTGAAACAGAACGGAAGTCCAGTGTACATAAACCAGTTGCAAAATAGCTGAGACCAATTTGAGATAAACCTGGTTGAATACAGTATCAGACTTAACTGGTAGTTGGGATTCCTCCCTCCATCCCCTGGAGAAACCCAGCTGGGGTCTGCCTGGCCTGGGGCTGAGTGGTGGAGGTGCTGGCGGACCCCCGCTGTGGTCCCCCAGTGGAAGAGGGAACGGAAGGGGCAATAAACCCTCTCCCTGCCCCTTCGCCTCAGGGGGCCATGCCAGCCGGCATCTGGCCACACCCCTGCCTCTGCAGCAATGAGGGGGAAGCAACCGTGACAAGGGCTGCTCTGCACCGGCCAGGCAAACTCCAGCTCAGGTCCTGCCAGTGGGACAGGGGATGGAGGGGGGAATTAAACCTCCATCTCTGCTCACTTCATGCTGCTGCTGGGGCTGACCACATCGCCCGCTGCTCTAGCTACCAGGGTAGGGGCGGGAAATTCCTGGCAAGGGCTGCTTCCCCCTTCCGGCATACCCCAGCTGGGGTCCCTGCAGGCCAGGGTGGGGGTTTAAACACCTCCCCAATCATACTCAGCCTGCCCAGGCCTGGCCATAACCCCTCTCAGCACAGCTTCCCTGCAGCCAAGAGCTCACTCTAGTGCCCCCCAGCTTCAAGCCTGAGCCACTGCAGGCACATGCCTCATTTCTGGAATCAGAAGTGAACATCTATTCACTTGCAAATCGGTTCAGCCCACACAGGTTAGACTAACCTGCAAAGATTGAATCAATTCAGACTCAGGCTTTTTTAATGTCTGTACTTAGCCCAAGGGCCCAGAACCCAGGTTGTTGCGCATTCTTCTAAATCTGAAAAAGATTAGTTGTTTTCAGCTAAAAAGAATACAGAAATATAGATGCATTGAGGTTGTGTGCTCTGTCTGATAAGGAAAAAAAATCTCCACAACCAAGATAATTAGTATTATCTTCATATGGAATACATAGGTATCCCAAACTGAAGAGTCGTGCCACTTCCCTGCCACTTGTCATCAGGAAAGAGGAAAGGTTTCCTATTATGTTATTTCAGCTCTGGAAACATTCAGTGTAACATGTGTGATAAATAAATGGAAGAAGGTTATTGTAAGATGAAAAGTAGAAAATGTGAAAAAGGAAAAGGAAAGGGAAAAGGAAATCAAAGAAGACAAAAGAAGAGAGTAAGGGAGCAGAGAATGAGAAATGTGAGCAAAAAGGAGCAGAGGTAGAGATAAGGAAAGCTAAAGATGGAGAAAAGTGGAGAAAAAGGAAACGTTAAGTATGAGAAAAAGGTGGGGGAGGGAAACATATTTTCCCAAAACAAAACCTTTCTATATCTGGATTAGGGAGTGTGTTCATTGGGCCATCCAGAAAAAAGCCCTGGCAATTTATAAATGGGTTGTGTTTCATAACAGAGAGGGTTGGAGCCAGAGGATTAAGACTAGCAGTTATGCAAAGCCATGCGCTCGAAGAAAATAAGTGAATTACTTCAGCTTCGTTGGCTCCTCAAGGAAGAACTCTTTGTACATGATTAAAACCAGTGACATCTCCAAAATACGAAAAATACAACTCCAAGTGAAAAATGACAACAATGTTTAGAAGCCATACCATTTTGTGGCTGTGTTTATTTCGACCAACATGTCATTGATTTGGCTAGTGAGTTCTGCAGCTCTCCACATGGTCTCACTTTATGTCTTATCATGTGTCAGTTTTCAGAAGCACTACCTTTACACACACACACATTTTCACTTTGTACTGCAATTATTGTCATAAAAAAATGACAATTTTTATCAACCTTGATGAAACAGTGACTAAAATACCTCTTTGTAAAAGATCATTTAAGGATGCATAACACATTATAAATTGTTTTCTACTCTCGCCCCCCCTTTTAATGAAAAGAGATTGAAAGCACTTAATTGATAGTAATGGACTGCATAAAATGACTACTTTTACTCTCTTTACACTGATTTTATCCTAGTGGAACTTTACTGGATTAGTGATGGGGGTCTTTCCATTGCCTTTTGCGGGAGTTGTATTTGCCCCACAGGGAATTAAATTAAATTTCACAAGAATGTTGTGAAACATATTTCACAATGCTAGTAGGTAGCAGGGGCTACAGTATAGTATTATAGTTTTTTACATTAAATGCCCAATTCTGCAGTGTTTGGAGGTTAATTGAATATTTCAGTCTATGAGAAGTAGAAAATCCAGGGACAGTGTTGCTACTAGGTCTACTTCAACCTGCTGAAGTTTTAAAGGCAGCAGTGTAAACAAACTATTACACTGAGAATAAAGGGAGGGATCATTTGCAATTATTGGTTGACATTTCACAGTCATACACAGGTGCAAACTTCTTTAAAGACATCTAAAAATGGGTGAGAAGGCAGAGAGGGAACCAAGTGATCTAACATAAGCACATGAGCCCTCTGGCCCCCTGGGAAATGTTTGCCTCCTCTGATGATGCTTCCCCTCTCCAGGATTGCATCATTCATTCAGGTTCCTGTTATAAAACAGGCACCGTGCTCTCACCGCACCTTGTAGGGGAATGCAGTGGTGCCACTGACCAAAATAAAAGCCTCAGCTCATCTCTTACTTTCTGCGCTAGAAAAACATACTGGTGAGCAAGATGAATCTGAGCTTTCTGAATGCCCACCCCTTCCAAAAAGACAAAAACCAGTCCTGGTGACTTACAGTATTGTACTCCCCGTGGTGGTTGTTTCTCCTGCTGCAAAACTCCTGGGTGTACTGGGAAAGAAAAAATCAGCTGAAACCTTCAGTCACATCAATAGAAAAGCACTGAGTGGACTGAAAGATATCTGCATTTTGTAAATAGCTCTTTATAATCTGCTGAGTAAGCTCGACTGATTTTTTTTTTTAATAGTTGCATACATGAAACTAGAGAAGTCCAGCTGACAGGCTTAGGAAAGAGAGATGTAGCCCTGCCTTCTTAAGGGGAGGAGTTCTTATCTAGAGCCTCCCTGGTTGGCTGAGGATAGACCGGCAGAGAGAAGGAGGTGGAGAGTTTGCTAATTTATAAGACACACTATGCCACCGACATAAGAACCAAGAGGGGGGTCTGGAGCCCCCGCAAAACGAATGAAAAGAACTTGGCACAGTCTCACAGAGGGGAGGGCCTAGGGGGAGCCAAGAGCCAAGGACAGGTTGCTAAGTGCAATGCTCAAGAATTATTTTTCTGAACAATGCAAAGGCAAGAGATAGTGTTGTTAAGAGTGTTTGGCTTAACTAAATGCTTTTGAAATTATTTGTAACAAAAGTTAAGCAAGACATTGATGTTAGCCTGGCCAATTCAAGAGTTAAAACTAATTTTCTTTAAACAAGGGTTTGGTAAGCCAGTATAATTTATCTAATACATTTAATTAAATTAAATCTAATAATCTATCTAATACTTTAACATGGAGACATAAAAAAATATTTTTGAGATATCAGTGAATTAAGGGCAAATTGCCAGCAGATATAAATGGATGTAGTTACACTGAGATCTAGCTCATTGTGTCAGACCTTCTTTAAGAGAAAATGTCATAGATTTCATAGACATTAGGGTTGGAAGGGACCTCGGAAGATCATCGAGTCCAGCCCCCCGCCCAAAGGGCAGGAAGTCAGCTGGGGTCAAAGGATCCCAGCAAGATAAGCATCCAATTGATTCCTGAAGGTGTTCAATGTAGGTGCTTGAACCACCTCCGACAACAGGCTGTTCCAGACCTTGGGGGCTCAGACAGTAAAGAAATTCTTCCTTATGTCCAGCCTGAAACGGTCTTGCAGGAGTTTATGACCGTTTGACCTCGTCATCCCTTGGGGCGCTCTGGTGAACAAACGTTCCCCCAGATCCTGGTGGTCACCCCAATAAACTTATTGGTGGCCATCAGATCGCCCCTGAGCCTGTGCTTTTGCAGGCTGAACAGTCCCATAGCTCTCAGCCTGTCGTCATAAGGGCTCTTTTCCTGACCTCTGACCATGTGCGTGGCTCCTCTCTGGACTCTCTCAAGCTTTTCCACATCCTTTTTGAATTGTGGGGCCCAAAACTGGACGTAGTACTCAAGCTGCGGCCTCACCAAGGCCGAGTACAAGAGGAGAATGACATCCCGGGATTTGCTTGAGAAGCATCTACGGATGCAAGCCAGCGTTTTGGTCGCTTTAGTAGCCGCAGCATCACATTGCAGGCTCATGTTTATCCTGTGGTCAATGATGACCCCCAAGTCTCTTTCTTCCGTAGTACTAGCCAGCGTAACACTGCCGAGCCTATAAGGATGCTGCAGGTTTTTCCTCCCAAGGTGGAGAACCTTGCATTTTTCAGTGTTAAACACCATCAGGTTCTCGTCCACCCATTTGCTGAGCCTGTCCAAGTCAGCCTGGATCGCCCTCCTGTCTTCTGGTGTGGAT